TGACGTGACTATCATTGGTCCGGGCTGCGTCGGCTGTCATAGGGTTAGGACCGAGRCACTTGACTAGGATATCTGACTGCGTCATCTGAAGGACCCGATGGAACCCGACACGATGGGGCCACAACCGATCATGGGCGAAGTAGGAGAGGAGTACMRGACATCGCCCGATCGCGCCCTGAGAGATCTGAAAGACCGAATTAGGCGTGAAGCGCCGCTGAGATGGGCCGACCAAACCAATGGAGGASGACCCGACGAAAGGGGCGAACCGGCAGTGACAGAGCCGCGGGGAGCTCTAAAGACAGRCATCTCGAGCGAACGGGGGGAAGTGACGAGGAGACGCTCTCCCGAGTACGAGCGAAGAGACACCACAGCGGACAGGCACGGAGACGACTGGAGAGAGAGTTTGAGGGATTTCTATTGGAGGGACAGAGATAGAGACAGGGCGCCGCTCAGGCGAGTCTTCGACCCCCAAACAGGGGAGTCGCATCCGCTTCCTTACGAGAGCAAGGATCGCTATATTATTGCGCACAAGGCCTCGGAGCCTCCTACTTTCAGGGGCTATGGTATCACTGAATATCTGGAGAAGTGGGAGCTTCATGCCTGCCGGAGTCGGTGGTCAGAGGAAGAGATTATAGAGAACTTCCTATTTAATGTAGACCCAAGTCTCGGTAGGGAAGTCAAAGAAGCTCGACCAAAGGATGGAAGATGGGCTACTTACAARAAGAATCTCATGGAGCTTTACAAATTAGAGGATAACAAGTATTCCATCAGAGACCTAGAAACAATAACTCAAGAAGAAGATGAGAGCGTGCGGGCATTTGGGATGCGTTTCCAGAAGATCTCTGACGTGCTGATGAAGAAGGGGAAGATCCCACAGGTCGAGCGCTGTACAATCTTCATCGGACACTTGTCCAAAGGTAGGCAAAAGAGTATACTTAGAGATCTTCCGCGCGACAGGCTTGATTTCCCTGAAGTCCTAAAGCTCGCGATAAAGGCAGAGGCAGACGATTACAAGGACTTGGTGTGGAAGGGGATGAGAAGGCGTGACTTCTCTCTCTACAAGGAGTATGCCACGGATAGATGTCCTGATTTCAAAGACTATCCCTGGTCGGAGAAGAATGAGGCCGTGGCTGAGGAAGTGAAGGAGATACGGGATATGGTGAAGGGATTAACAAGGCAGGTTACCAAGATTGTATCCACTACAGGGGTCACGGCATACCGGGACAAACCTGGAGGCCCCTATTCACTTCGCTGGGACCGTAGGAACAGCGATCCCTGGAGGAGCGTCGAGGATAGAAATCCTCGGACGCTGACTGATTACCGAATGAGGGTAAGAGAGAGAGACGATGAGCCATGGCGGCGTAGGGATGATGAGATAGACCGAGACCGCAGAGATCGTGACCGGTTTGTACGTAGCAAGAGGCTGGACGATTACCCGCGAAGCCCTCGCTATGAGGCCGATCGGGAAAGAGGCGACTCCCGCGGCCGATGGGAGACAGATCAGGATCGACGAGATGGATGCGGGGGCGACAGATACGAGAGATCGGACCGAGATGGTTACAGGGATGACAGATACGAGAGGTCGAGCCGAGGTGGTAGGTATGAGAGAGGAGATCGGGACTGGGAACGACGAGATGGGTCGCGCGGACGGTTTGAGCGCGGGGAAGACATGAGAGGACAGCGCGACTCGCGCGGGGAAGACATGAGAGGACAGCGCGACGAGTCGCGAGGATGGTACAACCGAGKAGCCCGATGGGATGAGTCACGAGGGCGATTTGACTCGGGGAACCGCCGATATGATTCGCGAGGGCGGTACGAGCAAGGGGGGTCTGGAGGAGACAGGCGCAACGATTCGTGCAGTCGGAATGAGAGAGGGGAATATGGTGTCTCATCAGAACCATATCCAAAGTCACCTGACCCCAACGCGGCCAGGAAATCGATGTCTAGGGGGGCGGATGACAGGGCGTCTACTCCTAGGAACTCATGCGTCTATTGTAGGGGAGAAGATCATATCAAAAGGGATTGCCCGGACCTTAAACGGGCAATAGAAGAGGGACTTGTCGTGCTTGACGATCGCAAGTACGTCAAGTGGCCAGATGATCTCGGAGATGTATCGATGTTCCCTTCGATGAAGGAGAATGTCGAAGCAAGGAAAATAAAGACGAATAGAAGAACGGAGCCGGTCAGGAGCCAGAGCATCAAGATAACTTTTGAAGGGGACGCGAGAAAGAGTCCTACGTCTATTCAGATTCACACAAGAATTCCCAAAATTTTCTGATACGAAGCCAAGAACATTCATGCGTAAAAAGGACATGCCGGGTTCCGTTTATTCCGGAATTGTTAATTATCGAGTCAAATTTCTAGCGCGCTTGCTAAGGCACGAGTAATTCCCATATATTTCCCGAATTGAGAAAAGATAAAATTCCAAAAACCAATCCAAAAAAATTGACGAACGTCCTGAGAAGGACGGGACTCCCTGCTTACGAACAATGCACATTGATTCATGGAAATACAAAAAGAGGTCCCGTCGGCCTGTTTGCAAGAACACCAAAATTTGGAAAAGAGGGGTGGGGGGGATTGGAAGATGGTGCAGGTCTGGAGGTTGGCGCGTCATGGATCATTCCTAGTGTGAAACCGTTTAAAAAGGTACCTGAAGTTAATGCATTGTTGTAGATTTCACACAGGAATGACCCAAAGGTTCCCCATGTGGTAAGAGGAATAGTTCGATTGGGAGGTCGTCGAGACCTGGGCACTTACCTTTTGCTATGGATTTGACTGCATAAAGGATTTTTGCCTCATCCATGGGCCTGTCCAACCTTTTTGTTGCTGAGGGAAAGATAAATCTAAATGAAATATCCCAAAAACTAAAATTCTCAGGTAAGTGTAATAGTGGGGGTTCTAGAGGGCGGTGAGTAGTCACTATATCTGTAAAGTAATCTAGGGTGTATGATGCCGCATATCCACACATTTGAACTGTATCTACCGCTTAAGGGGCTGAGACCAGAAAAAAGTGTGATACTTCTCTGATTAAGGACTTAGATTGTCTAATCAGTAGCAATCGAAATGTTAATTTTGTCATTTTGTCATAACCTACAATGCCTCTGTATTCAATAATTTCAGCCATTCCGCTAGTCTTTGTTGAATTTTTAGCTATTCTAATTTGGCCAGGGAGTCTCTCCAGATTTCAGACCAATAGTGGCTTGAAAAGGGGTCTTTGCCCATTTCAGTCTTTGCCTGAGAGATTAGTTCGATAAGAGATATTTTTTTCCAATTCCTGCTTGCTACCTTCATCCTAGAGAACATAATGAGGCCTTCTCTAATTATAACGATTACAGTACCAGGCCATTGGAGAAGATTCTAAAATAGATTTTTAGCTTCTACCCATTTCTCCATCTAGGCATGTACCTAGACTATGACGCTTGAGTCTTTCAGGAGGTTAATGTTAAGCCTGAAAGGTAACTAATATCTATCCACCTTATCTTTAGTATCCAGTGCTACTGGTGGTGGTATGATAATGATGTTTGCATCACATCACACCAAATGCTTCGGTCCTAGCGAGGACCATAAACAAGAAAGAAATCAATTCTTTCTGTAGGGGTCGGGCTATGGCGGGTCAGGGGTGGGTCAAACCATGTGTACCTGTTTTTGAAGGGGTTAAAGGTTCTGAAGACATCAGTTAAATTTTGGGCCTCACAAAAGGGGGCTAGTCTAACAGAGTCCGTTCTAAGGAGAGTTGAGAGCATAGTGTCTAGACTTGGGTTAAAAACAAACTTTTAATCCCCACAGAAAATCAAGTTTTCCACGTCAGGGGTGGACCTGGATAAATTTTCAAAAACGTTGATCCTATCTGCATAGTGCACTGGGGCGTACACAGTTATTATTGGTCAATCCTAATCTTCGATAGCAAGTTTTATCCAGGCCCATCATCCTTCCGGGTCAGCGTATGAATCTAGGATGTCGACATCTAAATCCCTATATATCAAGATAGGTGGCAACAACCCCGCTAGTGCCATCTGTCGGGGCCCAAATCTGTGGGTCATTCCACCAGCGTTGGACCTTCTCAAGTTTATTATTATTGAGCTTGGTTTCTTGAATACAAACTATTTGGACTTTGTTTTTTTTTTTTTTTTTTTTTTGACATTTTTGGAATGCAGCCACGATTTAAAACGTGACTATTTGAACTTTTTTCACCCCTATTTATAAAAAAACAAAATGACCATTTTAACCGTACTTCACACTAATCTGTAGAGGGCACTTCTTACTAACTTATTGTAAAACAAAAACGGGGAAAAAAAATTAAAAACGTATAAAACAGCAAGCCAAAATTGCACTTTCATGAAATTTCACCAATATTTCAATTTGTCGATTTTCACAATTTTCACCACTGCCCAAAACAACCATAATTTTGTTTGGCAACACCATTGGTTTTCGACTTGCGGATATGGCCTACAGTAGCCTTCTTTGGCTGTGTCGCTTTACCTTTGGCTCGAGGAGCCTGCTTTTCCTGTGTCACAGGAAGCGGGTCCCACTTGCCATTCAATTTCTTTGCAAATTCTTCTGAGGAGAAATCCTCAGCAACATCATTTTGATAGGGCCAATCGGTTATGTCTTGTGCAGAGAGTCCATCTGGTAATGAAATGTCACATAGTGACATAGGGTATTAGAGTTGGTATCGAACAGTCGAGCTAGTGGAAATCAGTAGATATTTTGCGCCTATAAGTACTCCATGTCTGTTGCATGAGTATGTAGCAAAAGGCAGGCGGTGTGAAGGGCAATCTTCCGCCCGGTTGATTTGGGCACTATATGTCTGACCCGTTTTGGCTCTGGGAGGATGGTGCATTTGCCATGGTCCAATCGAGCTTTCTTACTTGTAGTCGACACCCATAACCCTTTGATAAAACGGTTGAGAGGGACAAACAATTATCCTCATCTCGGTTGGTTAGAACCATAGGCCCATGTGGGGAGGGTGTAATGACAAGGGGGACTGCATTTTCTTTGAAATTCCCTTGTTTGCGATCCTCCCTCGACAGGGTCTGCACGGGCTTTGCAAAAACCAATGCCTGTTTAACAGGACGTGACTGTCTCTGTTTGGGGTTTGGCAAGTCTGTGACTCGTGATTCTTCGGTGTCGATGCTGACGGCGAGCCCCCGTTGGTGCGCTTCTTATCCGCCTCGTGTTTTTTTTTATGCAGGGGAACGCTGGCTCCTCGAGGTAATTGATTCCCCACCTTATGGTGAGGTCTCGTTATGTGTTGGAGACCAATTGTGGTTGCTGCCTCCTAAGTTGTATTCCTCCCCATCCGATGGGATGTCAGATGGGGGGGAATTTCCCCGATAGGATCTCAATGCAGAGAGGGTTTCCAGACCCTCTTCAAAGTCTGAGTGATTTGTTTCAGGCTGGTAGTAAGTACCATTGTCGTACATAGTCAACTCCCTACTGCCTTCGCTCTCACTATCAGAGGAAGAGAGAAGGAGGTGGTCTTTATGAACGACAAGTTCGTTGCCTTGAACATCGAATGCTGCAGCATGTTAATCGTCAGAATCAAATGCAATGCTATCTCGTTTTCTTTTTTCTCTTGATGTAGGGGCCTGTTTATCCTCTTGCATTGGGTCGAGCTCTTTTACAGAGGGGTCAGGTACCTTAGACGGGGTCGAGGCTCCCAGATCCCTCACTCTTCATTCTTCTCCCCTTCTCCATCTGGTTTCCTTCTCTATCTTTCAACCCCCCCTCCTCCATCTGGTTAAATTCCTTCTCTATTTTTCAAATCCCCCCTCCTCCTTTTTCATTGCATCATCTTGTGTTTCATCTTCTTCCCTTGCGGTATCTGCCGCCTCCCTTCCGTTGCTCTCCCCACTTCCTCCTCCTTCCCTGACTCGGGGACCCCTTCCCCCTTCTCCTTTCACACCCCTGGCTTCCCCCCCCACACCTCCTGAATTCCTTTTCGTCTTTTCTCCAACTCCCCTCTCCCCATCTCCCCTTCTCGTATCATTCCCTCCCCCACCGTATCCACCACCTCCTCCCTCCTTCTCCTCCATCTCCCTCCCCCAACCTTATCCTTATCTCCTCCCCCATTTCCTCCAACTCCTCCACTTCAAGTTCCTCCCCTCCCTCCCCCTCCCCCTCCATTCTTCTTATTCCCCCCCTTCGCGACATTTTGCTCACTTTTGTCAGACTTCCCTGGGTTACCGCCCCCGGTCATTGCTTTGACCATTTTCGCATATGATTTATTGTTTCGCGATGGGTAGTTTTCATCGTCCTCAACGTCCTGGTTATGGAAATGCCTCCTGCAAACCGGACACCACAGGGTTTCTGCACTCACAACTTCAATTTCGGCGTAACCATCATTTCCAAAATCAACAATAAGATATTATTTCTTGTAACGAAAGCGAGCAGCAGATTCCAAATCAAATATCATGTTCATCAGGGCCAGACAAAGTTTATCGTTAAAAGCGGGATACTCTTTGAGGAGGTCGCATTCATAGGCATCCCGAATTGCGCCAGGGAGGAGAGGTAGTGGTACACCTGAGTTTGAGTTGGTACATGCAGGAATTGTTGAAATACATACACTAAGGTTTGTATTTCAACAATTCATGTATGTAGCAACTAACTTGTTGAAATACTAACCCGAGTTTCAACTCATGTCTGTATTTCAACAAATTCATGGATGTACCAACTGAGCTAGGCGAGTTGATGGAGAATGTTGTTGACTCATACTCTTTCATTCCGAGTCCTTCCTTCTTTTTTTTTTTTTTTTTTTTTTTTGCATACAAGCTGTTGTTTGATATTGAAACGTCATGGGAGAGAATATTTGTAACCATGAGAATAAGTTTGATATTTCCTAGGACTCTTCCAAATAAAACAGAAAAACATCAAGCCGAAGATGATGCCATATCTCATAGGAGTGAGTTAGAAAGGTGGGCCACAGACCCGCACACCGCGGGAAAATCGAGGGCGGGTGGGACCACTTCGCCAAAAAGGCGAGGAGAATCGACTCACACTCCGTAGGACCTGACCCATTGTGTTCCTGCGCAGGTTCGCATATGCGATGAGTGTTGCAAGCGGGGGCAGTCTGGAGGGCGCAGCACGGGAGTCAACGCAAGTTGTGGTGACAGGTCAGACTCCTGTCGCTTATACTGTATCCGACCAAGGCAGTGGTACCACTCGGGTTGTCGAGGTCGTTCTTAAACCTGGGTGAGTGTCACCTCTCCCGATGGGACTCCGTAGGTCTAGAGATGGGGCTCCGTAGATCTTGAGTGGTTGTCTTGTGAATCGTTGATCTTGCGTGAATGACCCGATGTCTGAAACAAAAGTCTTGTAGGGCCATAGATGTTGAAAATGCATGGACATGATTGCGGCTGGTTCAAATACCCAGGACCAGTGTTGATCTGAGGACCAACCGGAATAACCGTACGTTTGATGCTGAAGCGGTTGCTGG